CATTAAGGTTTGGCTAACCACATGGCTGTTAGCCAAGTTAACAACTGCTCAAAAAAGTAAAGGTCCTAGATCTGAATGAATGAAATTTTCTCATTGAATACTTTCTTCTAAACAAAACTGAATGTGCTGAGAGCTTGTGAAATTGTTCGTCATTTAGTTTAGTTTAGTTTTTTAAATAAATTATTATTGTTTGAATTTATTTAAAAAAGGGGCTGATACGTGTGATCGCGTTAACATCCACAGTTCAGTTAGAGCACTTCGATCCAACCAGTTTCTCTTAGATGTTCCTAGATCCAGGCTAAAATTTAGAGGTGATCAGGCCTTTGCAGTTTCTGCCCCAAACCTTTGGAATGGTTTACCTCTCAGCATTCGGTGTGCAGAGACTGTTGAGACTTTTAAATCTCTGCTGAAAACTCATTTTTACTCCCTGGTTTTCATTCTGGTAGAGGTTGAGATTCTTTTAAAGACGTTTTTAATGTTTTTTCTCTAATTTAAATTGATCTTATTGTTTATATTTATGTCTTGCTCTGTTGTTTTATTCATTTGGCTGAATTGTGAAGCACCTTGGTCAACTTTTGTTGTTTTTATGTTCTGTATAAATAAATCGACATTTAAATATTAGAAGACATTTTTCTTCTTTCTGCTGCGTTTCATTAATATATTTTTTCTTCTGTTGTGCATGGTTTATTTTGTTTTTTTGACAAAAGGAATATGTTTTTAAAATAAACATATAATGTAATAATTAACAGAGCTGCAACAAGTTGTTGCTATTAAAATAACATAAATTGTTTTCATATTAAAATATAGTAGAAAGCTCACTTGTAGCCATCTTCATATTGAATTAAATTTGTGCATTTATTGTTTTAGATTTGTGACACCGTCTTGAGCCATTCACATGCATCTGATCATAGCTACAGTGCTGCAGGCTGACAGGTTCCTGCAGGATCACAGACAATTTTCTGAAGCAGCTCTGAAGACCATGGAGGCTCACCCAGTGCTGAACAGGACCAAGAAGTCTGATGTGGTTCAGGAGCTGCAGTGGTGATGTGTCGCTGTACCAGCCCATCATGGAGAACAATCTGCAGGACAGCTTCAGAGACTGTGACTCTGCAGAAGATTCTCATCACATCTCCTCTGACCACAGCTGAATCTGAGAGGAGCTTCTCAACACTGAAGAGAATCCAGACTTTCCTCAGGTACAACATCACACATCCCTGGCATGCTCTATAGAGAAGAATCTTGTTAAAACATCCCTGACTTTAACCAGAGTCATGAAGAAATTTGCTTCTCAGTAACAGAAGAGCAAAATTTATGTACAAAAAGTAAAACACTACATGACATCATAATGCTGTTTTTTTATTTTCAGTTTAATAAATACACTGGCATGATATAACTTAGTACGTTTGGTTGCTTACTGAGATACGTATTTTGGAGTTGTAGCCCCCCTGGAGAAAAATCCACCAGCCGCCACTGGTCATTAGACACCTCACTGAACCCACACTACCCTTGGTTTGATTTGTAAACAGTTTTACAGAACCTGGAGAGGTTGAAATAGTTCTGTTAATTTTGATGGTCTGGTTCATTTCATCAAGCACAAATAGTCTCTAATGATGCAGTAATCTGTATTAAAGGTGTTTCCATTTCGTGCTGCCTGGTGTTTCAATCAATATCAATCGAATATAACCTGAAAAAAATAGAAGGCATTTTTTTTTTACATATAACTGAGAGCCAATATATTTCCTTTTCGATTTGACATAAATGATTGTTTTATAAAAAGTATTACATTTTGTAATATTAGGAGATTTTAAAGTAATGAAGCCTTTATCATCTGATTTTTCTAAGCTGATTTCTCATTCAATTTTGTGAAATTCTGGAATGTTTTTTTTACAGTGTAGTATTTTATTGTACTTCATTCACGCTGTGGAAATGACCTTGACTATTACGGTAAATTTGAGTGTTTACCTCAGGCTCGTTTTCAGTGAACAGAGCTGCTGGACCCATCATCTCTTCCTCCTCTTCATCAGCAGGACAGAGATGCTGTTAAATGTGACGGCCCCGCTGTTTCCCCTTTTAACTCCCTGCCTTCAGATCCAATGTGACACACACAGAGCTGCTATGCAAGATCAAAACTGGCTCCTCACTTCACACTAATCTGCACGGCCTCATCACAGGGCAAATGCTGCTGTCTCCTCCAGCTCTGCCGTGACACGAACACACATAAAGACACAAATAACCTCCGCACTCAACACACTCATAAAAACTAAACGGCCATTTTTTTCCTTTTCATCTCAGGGAAAGTTTGAATTTATTTTTGGGTGTCTGCCAGCTTTTCCCTGTGAAGTCATCTTTTGTGCCATCTTTAACGTTCCTTTTTTCCCCATTATCTTTCTCCAGGGTCTTTGATTTTTAATCTGCCAGATTAGATTGAAATTTAAATGCGGAAATTATCAGTCATTTTTATCATTTATGTACTGCTCATAGAAACATGTTTTTTTTCTTTCTTTCTTTGTCTTATTTTTGTATTGCAAAAAAAGGCCTATATCCTCTCCTGAAAGAATGCTTGTCACCCATAAGATCACGTCATGCTATCTCACAGGGTTTCGGCAAACCTCAATAAACAACTTATCTTATCTCATGTGATCACAAAATACACTGAAAGTTCCTTTAAAATCCATGAAGTAGTTCATGAAATATTGTGCTAACAGACAGGCTTTAACTGCATTAATTACTGGCAAAGGTTTTGTACAGTGAATACGTATTATGTCAGCAAAAACTACACCAAAGTTTACATTATTATTTGTAAAATTAACCGATTTATAGCTACCATATTTATTCAATACGTAAAATTAAATCCATAAAATCATCCATAAAGTTGGGGGGTAGTACTATACTCGGATAAATATTTTTACTTGTGTATTTTAACTGAAATATCGGCTTCATTCACAAAATTATTGAGTCCGGAAATGAGACCGCGTCATAAAATCAGTTGAAACGAGCTTACCTCTGACACTCCTCCGTGCTGCAGAGTGAGATAATAACAGATCCAGGCAGGCGACATGATGTGAAAAAAAGGGGAAAAAGTATTCCTGCACCTTATTAATGATAGAGAACTAATGACATTAGTGTGTGACTGGGCTGTTCCTCGAACAACAACAAAAACATGTTCGTCTGTAATGGCGGCCGTCTACCGGTGTTCTGAAAAAGTTTGTATCCCTGAAAAAATGTTTCCCCACCAGAGGGGGCGCTCACGAGTAGGAAGTCATCTGCTTTTCCCCAACAAGATGGCCCAAATCTCATGTGAAATTTCTGACTTTTGTGTTGGTGCATCCTGGTGGACTATGTGTAAAATGCCAGAATTCATATGATGCTGCTACAGCTGATATATTTGTTGTCAAAATACCTTTTAGTACATATGCTGTTAAAATAAAATGAACAGTCCAATGATCATTTTACTGATGTGTATAAAGACTGCAAAGGCTGAAAAATCTTGAAGTCTGCATGAAATTGTTTGAGGATTAAATTTTTTATGCTTTTTAAGCTAAAAAAGGAGGGGGGTCGTATTTTACATGAATAAATACGGTAATTTTGTTTCTTAAAGTCAGTCTTAAAGTATACTTTAACGTTTTTGAGAATTTTCTTGCACATGCACTATTTCCTGTTTTATCGGTATTGAATTATTTCAGTAGTTGCAACTGATTCTACAAACAAGGTTGGCTGTAAAAATCATTAGGCCTGCACTGTGGAAGTAAAGCAACAATCGACACCTGCAAAATCTTTGCAAAGCAATGAGTGTGAAACATTCTGCTTCAGTACAATTACTGCTTTCCCTCACCAATGTAATAAGAGAAGCCAGAGGGTCAGTATGAGGAATTTGTGCTTTTGCTTGTACTAAAGCTGACATGTTTTTTTTTAAATGACGCTATATTTACATGCAAACTGGCTTACATTAATGCAGTCACAGTTAATGGAAGCTTTAAATCACCTATCATTGCTATTTCATGCAAGAAATCTTTTCATTTTGACATACAAATGGTTATTGTAATCATTACTGGCCTATTTGCTGCTACAATTCCAAATACCTTTTTATATTTTGTAGATTATTTTCATACATTTTCAGCTTATTGCAGTATACGTGTAAAAGCACAGGTATCCTAATTTATGTGTCTGACAGATTCACAGAATGCTGCCAGGATTTATCGCAGCTATTTGTGATTACAATGATGGTTACACACACTGTGAAGGTCATATTGTCCACACACTGCTGAAGGTATCACAACTGAAATGGGACTAAACTATACTTTAATGGATCATATATTTTATTGAATCTCGTGAGCTGTTGGCAGATGATAAATCAGTGAGTGTTATACTAGTTTTTCCATCCAAACGGCTCTCTGCATGATTTTTTCCCCAACAGCCTCTTGGCCCTTTTGGAAGATGTATGAAAAATCCATTTTTAAATCAGCATAATTCTGTTCATTTTATTATCTAACTTGAATTTAGCCCTGAATATTTCCACAATTCAAGTTTCTATTAGTCCTGAATATAATTTCCTCTTTTGTTTTCTCACAGCACATGCGTTGGTGCATTCCAAAGCAGAAAAAACTGTGTTTGATTTCAGTTAGCCAACCAACTAAGCCTATAATGGTTAGAACAAGACAAACAAACATGAAATGAAATGAGGACCTATAAACAAACAAGAGAAACAACCATTCACACTCCCACTCACACAAAGGGATATTTCAGATTATCAGTGAACCTAACATGCATGTTTTTGGCCTGTGGGAGGAAACTCATGCATGCACTGGGAGACTTTAGACTCCACACAGAATCTCTAAAGCTGAAGTGTGAAATTGTGCAGCTGCTACTTTATTACATTAAAAATATTGTTAAATTAAGATATACCTTTTCTGAGTTTAAATAAAAAGGACTCAAATTAAAGTTCAAGCCACATTTTTCACAAATGATCTTTCTTAACTATAATTTTTTTAAGCCAGTGTTCATCAACAGATAGTGATGCTGATACCAATGCCAATACTGATGCTGATGCCAATACTGATGCTAATGCCGATACCAATGCAGATATCGTTGGCGATACCAATGCTGATGCCGAAACCGATGACAATATCAATACAGATGCAAATATTGATACTGATGCCAAGGCCGATACCAACGTCAGTACCGATGACAATACCAATACCAATGCTGGGACAGATGACGATACCAATACAGATGCCTATACCTATGCCGATACTAATGCCAATACCAATGTCAGTACCGAGGACGATACCAATACCAATGCCAATGCTGGTACAGATGACGATACCAATACAGATGCCAATGCTGGTACAGATGACGATACCAATACAGATGCCAATGCTGGTACAGATGACGATACCAATACAGATGCCTATACCTACGCCAAAGCTGGTACCAATGATGATGCTAATACAGATGTCTATATTGATGCTGGTACAGATGATAATAACAATACTGATGCAGATACTGATGCTGATAATGATGAAGATACTGATGGCAATGCCAATACCAATGTCAATACCGATACCAATACCAATGCTGATGCAGATATTAATACTTGTTATGTTCATTGATTAATTTTGTCTTTGTTATTCAGTTATGATTAAACACAAGACAAAAATTTTGGGCAGTTAAAATTTATTTACATTAAATAACTACAACAATGTAAAATATTGTAACAGTATTAAAATAATAAAACTATTTCTGTATTACTTTCAACTAAACATGTTTTTAAAGAAAAAAGTCACTAATGCAAAATAAAAAAAGAAGCAACAATGTAACAAAATATAAAAGGGTGGGTTTTTTGGCTAATGATTAAACTATTTGAAGGCTTTGCACCACTGATTTTATTTTTCACTTCATTTATGAAAATAAAGTTAGTAGTGCAAATAAAACATAAACAAAAGAATCTTTCTCATCACTGTAGTATCGCTCTGATATCGATGCTCATCTTAGTTTCTGTAGTATACTGTATATTCATTGATCAATGCATCCACCCATACCAAGGACCTTTATGCTGCGGGGCATAATGGCTCACGCTGCCAGTGGTAATGTTTTTGCTTGTATCTTGGTGTAAGCATTGGTCTGTAATGTTGGCAAAATATCTCATTTTCCTCTGGTTAAATTGTATTGAAACTCTCAGACAGCTGAATTGTTCTTTATAACTAACACATTTTCTAAATTTATGAGCAGCACTCTTTCACACATTTCCAATTATTGTTATTATTTTATATTTCTTTGTTTCCTTCTTTGCTGTGTTCACCGAGGCAAGTAAATAAAGCAGAAATTTCATCCAGCTATTTTTAAAACTTTAATCTTCCCTCTGTAACCATCCTGCAGAATATTCTTCAGTAGTTTCCTGCTAAAAGATCCCAGGAAATAATTTATTTCTCTGCAAGTGGGTCACCAAGCAGCTGTGGAAGGTGAAATATATGAGACGCATGAAGTAACTGGTAGCTTAAGGATGCTGTGAGCTTAAAGGAGGTGTGGGAGTGCATCAGTCCATCTGTGTGTGTGTGTGTGTGTGTGTGTGTGTGTGTGTGTGTGTGTGTGTGTGTGTGTGTGTGTGTGTGTGTGTGTGTGTGTGTGTGTGTGTGTGTGTGTGTGTATGTGAGTAAGAGAGAGAGTTGGTGTTTAATAAGTTAGGGCCACTGGAGTCCATGGTTTAATTAAGAGATAGAAACAGATTTAGGCCTCAGCAGCACCAGGCTGGTCTTCTCCTTGGTCACACGCAGGATGTCCTCGGATGGTTTTTGCATCTCACGCAAACCTCTGGAAAAACACGAACTCTTTAACTTTAACATTAACGTTTAATGAGGATTATCACAAAAAAAAAAAAAAAAACAGAGATTCTAGAGGGAAAATGTTAAATTTAGTAGAGAAACTGAAAACAGTGACACATGAGATAAAAAAAGATAAATGCTAAATAAAATACATCATACTTTTTGCACTGAATGTGCTTCAGTTCAAACTCTCAAATCCATGGATTAAAAAAAAAATACAAAGGAGAACTGAGGACAGAAAAAGCTTCTCAGGTCTGATAAACAGAAAACCCATTTATTTATCTCAGCTGCAGGTGCAGGCCCAGGAAAAAAAAAACACATGGAAAAAATGAAATGATAAAATGAAACTTCTTTGTGGATAACCTCAAAGACTTTAGATACATTTTTATGTTGATTTTCTGCCTGTGACAGTTTTTTCTAAAGCTATAAATATGGAAAATGTGCACATCAAAACAAGGGCATGCTGCAGAAGGAAGTACATAGTAGAGTTGAATTTAAAGCCCTACAGATAAATGTAATTCACATTTTTTCTGTCATGCAGTCATCAGGAACCCTCCAACCTGTTATTAGCCTACAGTTTAAAAGCCTGCCTCTCTGATGGTATGGTGGTGCATAAAGTACATTATTTTCTGTAATGTACTGATAAACATTAAACTTTCATATATTTTGGATTCATTGCACACTAACTGAAGTAGTTAAACCCTTTTATTGTTTTAATTTTGACGATTTTGGCAAAAAGTAAAGAAAAACCAAAAATCCCTATCTCAAAAAATTTGCTTATCATGAAAAGGTTCTCTAAACGACTTATTAACCAAATGATCTGAATCAACAAATTAACTCTAAACACCTGCAAGAGATTCCTGAGGCTTTTAAAAACTACCAGTCTGGTTCATTACTCAAAACCACAATCATGGGTCAGACTGCTGACCTGACTGCTGTCCAGAAGGCCATCACTGACRCCCTCAAGCAAGAGGGTAAGACACAGAAAGACATTTGTTCCTAGAGTGCTGTATCAAGGCACCTCATTGGGAAGTCTGTGGCAGAAAACGCTGCACAACAAGAAGAGGTGACCGGACCCTGAGGAAGATTGTGGAGAAGGGCCGATTCCAGACCTTGGGGGACCTGTAGAAGCAGTGGACTGAGTCTGGAGTACAAACGTCCAGAGCCACCGTGCACATGCGTGTGCAGGAAATGGGCTACAGGTGCCTCATTCCCCAGGTCAAGCCACTTTTGAACCAGAAACAGCAGCAGATGCGCCTGACCTGGTCTACAGAGAAGCAGCACTGGACTGTTGCTCGGTGGTCCAAAGTACTTTTTTTTTGGATGAAAGCAAATTTTGCATGTCATTCAGAAATCAAGGAACCAGAGTCTGGCAGAAGACTGGGGAGAAGGAAATGCTAAAATGCCTGAAGTCCAGTGTCAAGTACCCACAGTCAGTGATGGTCTGAGGTGCCATGTCAGCTGCTGGTGTTGGTCAACTGTGTTTTATCAAGGGCAGGGTCAATGCAGCTAGCTTTCAGATTTTGGAGCATTTCATGCTTCCATCTGCTGAAAAGCTTTATGGAGATGAAGATTTCATTTTTCAGCACGACCTGGCACCTGCTCACAGTGCCAAAACCACTGGTAAATGGTTTACTGACCATGGTATCACTGTGCTCAATTGGCCTGCCAACTCTCCTGACCTGAACCCTAGAGAGAATCTGTGGGATATTGTGAAGAGAAAGTTGAAAGACACAAGACCCAACACTCTGGATGAGCTTAAGACACAAGACCCAACACTCTGGATGAGCTTAAGGCCGCTATCGAAGCAGTGCCACAGGCTGATTGCCACCAGGCCACGCCACATTGAAGCAGTCATTTCTGCAAAATGATTCCCGACCAAGAATTGAGTGCATAACTGAACATAATTATTTGAAGGTTGACTCTTTTTGTATTAAAAACACTTCTCTTTTATTGGTCAGATGAAATATGCTAATTTTTTGAGACAGGGATTTTTTAAAACTTTTTTGCCAAAATCATAAATTTTAAAACAATAAAAGGCTTGAACTACTTCAGTTGGTGTGCAATGAATCTAAAATATTTGAAAGTTAAATGTTTATCAGTACACTACAGAAAATAATGAACTTTATCACAGTATGCTAATTTTTTGAGAAGGGCCTATATATATACTGTATATAATGCCTTTATTGAGATTTTAAAACAAAAAATGCTTTGTCTTGATAAACCAATTAATTTGTGTGCCGACAAATACAACCTTTTGATGAAATGTCCTGTTCTATTACACAAAGTGATTGAGAAGCATACAGTAGGTGTAATAATAAATAATAATATTTTTCTGGCTTCTCAAAGGTTTTATAGCTTAAATATTTAGAAACAACTGTGGCTTTAAGCTAACTTCCATAATGAAAATAGATTCAGTTCAAGCCGCTTTTGTCTTATGAGAACATGCAAGAACTTTACATGCAGAGACAACTATAGCTGCGTTTCCATTACAGATGTGCGCAAAACTTTGTTGATATTCTGTTAATGTTGAAAAAACACAGTTTTGTTACTGCAGTGTTTCCATTAAGTAAGAAATGCTATTAAAGTCACGCGTGAATATGTTTGTTCTCGTGATAGATCATTCAAACATGGCGGCAATGGATGTAAACACATAGCATGTTGCTACCGCGACACTAGCATTCATCGTCAGAGGAGACGTCGGCGTCTTTTATTGAGGCTTTCCAGCAACAAACCCATACTTGGGAGCGGCTACTTATGCTGTGTTTTTGGGGAATTGTAGTCAATGAGTTTACTACTTCCTTTTACTGCTTCTGTGATATTACTACTACTTCTACTTCCTTTTATCTTCTTCGCTGTTGTCTTTTTCGCCAGTAGAAACAGCCTGTTGTTGATCATGTGACTCTCGTGATGCGAAATAAGGGTTTCCATTGCAGTTTTGTGAAAAACACCAATTTCGATACGGCCGAAAACCTAACTCATCCTAGCGCAAAAACATTTAGTCAAAAAACACATATATATATTTTTCGAAATTGTCGTGTTTCCATTGAGCAAATTTATTTTCAAAATTCTATTTTGCGCATTTTCATGGTCAATGGAAACACAACTATTGTCACAGGCCAGCACATGGCCCATAACAAAAATGAGGGGAGACAAAGGTAAAAGTCAGCTAAAATAGTTTATTGTAAAGTACAAGTAAATCTAAATGAGTATTTCAACCCAAAATCCAACCTAGAACAAAGGAGTTACCTGGAGGAGCAGAGTGGTTAGGAGAGCGCTGATTATACCACTTAGCCCAGGTGCTTCCCATTTCTCAAGGCCCACCTCTGATTGCAGGAGAAACTGCCCCTGTCAGTCAGAGGAGGAGCTGTGACATGTTTACATTTTTACATCAGTTCCTTTATGTAAATGAGAATTTATTAAGGAGGCTCATTAGAGGCTAATGGTTGTGCACAGTTAGAACATTTCCATATTCTATAGGATGGTAAGATGTGAAACTACAGGAACAGAAACGGTAAATGGTTTTCTTTCTTTTGCACAGTTGTGAAATTCATGAGTGTTTAGTGTGTCATGTATGTAAAAGAGAGAGGTCAGAGCACTCTGGATTTGAAAAAAAAATTGTTTGGATTTACTATAGAGGGTAGAGTGTGTTATACTAACATGACCAGTGTTGCAACACAGTGTCACATCCAGACCGTCTTACACTGACCTCTGAACGTGTTGCATCACGATGCAGTTGTTGACACAGAACATAGGTGTAATGCAAAAATACCGCAATGTAAAGAATT